CCCCAGCCAGCATGCTGGCTGGGGAATTCTGGGAGTTGAAGCCCACCCATCTTAAAGTTGCCAAGGTTGAGAAACACTGTTCTAATGAGAGATACTACTTTTGGGAGTACAGTCTGACTCAAACGGCAACCTGGACAAAGTTGATTTCCTGTGTTTTAAGTAAAACCAGGTCCTTCCATCTTGATCATCGGTCTCAAAGGACTTTGCCCTCCAGCTAAAAGAGCTGTCTGATCTATGCTTTGCTGGAGAACAGACAAGCAATAGGTGCTTATGTTGGGTCTGTCTGCAGACCCTTGTATTCTGAGCATGAATGATCAACTCAAGTTGGTGCTTTGATCAATCTTTGAGAGGGCAGCAGAAGTAACTCTCAAGTGATCCTGGGAAGAACCCACCACAAGTCTATCCATGACAAATGTGGAGAACTTTGGATACCATGTTGTACCAGATTTATTTCTGTAGGTCCAAGTTGTATGTGGATGGCTTCCTTTCAGTTAACATGACTAACGTTCTATCAAGCATTTTTTCTCAGAGGAATCTGTAATTAAGTGATAACTGACTTGATCTACAAGGATTTTTTAGGAGCAAGCACCTTTAAGATGAACAGGATCACTTTAAGTAACACTTTCAATTCAAGGTCATATACCTTAGATTAGTTATGCCACAATGTGAAAATAAACTCAGACTTCTCCTTGGTTTGTCAATCGAAATCACATTGCTGAACCAGAATGTTGTAAGTTATTAAAATGTTTTAATTGACTACTTCCTCCGGTGAATCAATTAAACACCGAAACTCTAGTTCTTCTGGGTTTACTTGTTTGATTTTTGTTATTGTTAGAATTAATTTGTTTTAAATGGCATACCTTGAGATGTCTTGGGATATAAATATCTGAAATACAGTTTGTAAAAGACAACCATAGGAACATCCTGCTGGAATTCTAGCAATCAGCGCTATTATGTTATCTATCTGAAACTGAATAACTATTCACCAGCAGACTATGGTCTACTTTCTATCTACTCTTGCTGTGAAGTGGTGATCAGCGGCTCTAGACCCAGAAATTATTTTGTCCCAGCCTGCAACACAAGACCCATCTATACCCACCCCTTCTATACAATATATTACTTCTACTTTATTCACATTACCAAAATCAGTTATTTTCCCCACTTTTCAAAATTCTTCTTCCCTAGAAGAATGATCAAATGGGGGAGGTGGTTTTGTAAAATCAGCTGAAATAAACCAGTATGAAGAATGGCAAGAGAAATACATCATCTTAATTTCAACTTGGAAAAAAAAAAAGCTTTATGTTAATCCCAAATAAAATATTGAACTGCCTCCTCCTCCTCCTCCTCCTCCTCCTCCTCTTTCTTTTCCTATACTTTTTCTTCAGGAAAATATGTATCATTTTGTATGCTTGCCCATTATGATAAATTGCAACACCAATTGTCTTTAATTAGAACATGAATATTTGATGGAAATCCTGCTGACTGGATCAACATTTCGAAAGGAGAGCCGGGACACTCAACAGACTGAAATCAAGAAAAGAGAATTTGACTTAATGAGATAATTAGCCCTGCTCCAGACTTTGAAAAGTAAGCTAGATTTTTCCAAGAAATCAGACATCATTTCCTGAAAAGAGAAAATTAAGTGTTTGGTCTCCTGCTAAATGTTCCAAATCTTGGTGATGTAAGTCACAAGGAGAAAAGAAAATGGATGCATCCACTTGGTCTATGTTTAATTGTTTGGTCTAAGCATTACCCATGATCTATACAGAGGACCTCATCAGGTATCTCCCATTAAACAGAGCGCTGATTCAGATGTCATGCTAAACCAGGAGTGGAGGACAGGTCTTTTAATGCGAGGCATACACTCCTTTTTTGTAATTATTGTGTCTGGCAAAGGACATCTTGACCTGGGGGAAGAGGCATTTATGATGTTACAGGAGAGGGCAGAGAAATATTTTGGCCCCCTGTCTAGCATCTTTTCAGTTTGGGTGAAGAGAGGATTTTAACATTTCCTCATGCAGATTTTACATCGTTTCCCCCCCTTCCTTTTCCACCCCGAAACAGCAGGTGTGGTTGAGAAATAGGTCTTGTTCTGTGGAGTCCTTGGTGCCCTCTGAGCTTGGTTGTTTCTTTGCAGACATTTCATGACCCAACTAGGTAACATCATCAGTGCCTTGCTCTGGGTTATCTCATTTTAACAAAGGTTTGGAGAAATTAGAATGGGTGCAAAGAGCAACGTCGGTGATCGAGAGCCTGGAGATGGGGGAAGGGGCATCTTTAGCCTTGAGGAGAGAAAGTGAGAGGCAGGTTGGTGACTCTTCTCAGTGGTCTGAAAGGAGGCTGCACTAAAGGCAACCAGACCTTGTTCTCCCTCAGCCAAACGTGCAGGACGTGGAATCAGAGATGGCAGAGGCTAGTTGAAGGTTAGCAAAGACTTCTTCATAAGAGACTCTCAACAGCGAGCCAGGGAGGTGATTGGTCAGAAGGGGAGACAACAGGACCATGGCCCTTAACTTTGGCATTGCAGATCCCGCTCCAAGAAGGTTGGACTCAGGGATCCTGCCCACGCGACTGTTGACTTTTGATTGTGTGATTTGAGGGAGGGTCAGCAAAAAGGGTCTGGGGCTGCAGGCAGCCCACGAGGCAGAGGTTGCTCACCTCTTCCCTAAACCATAGTTTGTTATGATGAGTACAAACCACCTCTTCTTGCACACTCTTATTCCTTCTCTAGGACAACCACGAACCTGCACATTTTTACTTTGCTTTTGGCTCTGTTTCTGAAACGATGCTTCAACTTAACTAAACTTGTAAACAAGCCAACTTCAAACCCTAGTTGCAAAGGCAAAGTGCAAGCACGGTCCACACAATAAGCTGTAGATAATCTGAAACGGACATTTATATTCACCCAGCATCCCGGCAGAGGGGACAGGAGCAGAGTAAACCTAATCTCAGGACTTATTCTTACAGTGCTAAATCAAGGCCAAGCTTTATGTCCGAACGCAGCTACGCTCTCCGATGAACCTAGCGTCGAAAATGCTTGAGGACAACAAGCAATAAATCATTCCTACGACTCCTGAATCCTGAAGAATGTTTTTTTTTTCATATGCTGGGGTGCTGGTAACCAAAGAATTATTATATAAATCCACCACTGATTTACGGCCGTGGATTATTGTCCAACATTTTAATTAGTCTCCTTTCTACAGAAGGGCAAAGTAGAGGACATTCAAGTGATTCAGTCGTATTTTCTCAAACCCTTTTGTTTATGATACTCATTCTAAACATGTTTTTCTTCCCTTTTCTCCCATTTTAATTTTATGTCATACGCAGATTGTTTACAATGTTAATTGCTAGTTTAGACAATATGGTTTGTCAATATTTGTATAACAATGAAAGATGAATTTGGTGTTGGGTTTTGCTTCTGCAGCATGATTACGTTATTTTTATTTGTTTCTTTCATAAAGCACACAAACAACGTTTGGAATACCGGAACAACCCGACGTACCATTATGGGAAGAACTGAAAAACGTCCACTGAATTTTTCAGATCTAGAAGTTGGGTTGGGTTAAGCAATTTGCTAAGCACGCTTGCCAGAAACACGGGACACAGCACTGGTCCCCCTCCTTGCAAAACTGTCTATCAGAGCTGGAAAAAGTACAGGGCAGGGCAACCAAAATGATCGAGGGGCTCAAATTTCTTACTTGGGGAAAGGGGTAGAATGTTTGAGACTCTTTTTCTTGGAAAAATGGAGGGGGAGGAGACGTAATCAATGTATATAAAATCAGACACAGGATGGAGAAAATGGATGGGGAAAAGTTGCTCCTCCATGTCTCCGAAGACTTGGATCAAGGGTCATCTAATGACATGGACTGGAAGATGACATATGACAAATCTCCCCCCTCCTCCAAAAAGAGAGTATTTCTTCATCCAGTGCAACAACTTTATTATGGTTCCCCAGTTGGTGGTACATGATTCAATTTGACTATGTGCCGCTAAGTTGGTGTTGACTCTTAGCTACCATATAGATAGACTTTCTCCAGGATGGAGATGGTACATGACTCAGTGAAACTGGGATAACTAAAAGTATATCTATGCTCTGTTGGAATAACTACAGTGAAAAAAAGCATATACAGTGGTACCTCTAGTTACGAACTTAATCTGTTCCGTGACTCTGGTTGCAACTC